AGCTTTATTTATATATAGACATATATATATGCCGTTCTTTTTTGGAAACCGTATGTGTAATTTCTCTATATTTGTTCCTTGTTTATTTGTATTTTATATTAGTATTTTTGTATTATTTATACCAGATTGGAAGCTTCTGTCTCTCTGAAGCAGAGTCGGGAAGCGATGCTTTTGCTCTGAAGACGCGTGCTGAAAAGCACAAGGACTATTATGTAATCAATGGATCCAAGATGTGGATCAGTAATGCAGAGCATGCTGGTGTTTTCCTGGTAATGGCCAATGTGGATCTCTCTGCTGTGAGTAACTGCTGATGTTTCTATTCTCAGAGTGTGCAGTATTTCTTTTTGAGCCTAGATTTTTAAGGCCCCTCTCAACAGTCGCTTCTGAGCTTATAAGCTAATAACAATATATTGATTGCGTTTGTTTCTTTATCTTGGAAATTACCAAGACATGCTGGATTTTTTTTATCAAATTCATTTAACAAAAACATCAAGTGGAACTATACTTTATAATACCCACCCTCTATAGGTTCTATTGATGCTTTGTGGTGATTAAATGCGTTCCCCTGTGACAGAAAGGTAAATATAAAGTCACCTTTGTTTGGCAGGGATACAGAGGCATCACCTGCTTCATCGTGGACCGGGACACCGAGGGGCTAGAAATCGGCAAGAAGGAGAACAAGCTTGGACTGCGGGCCTCCTCCACCTGCCCGCTCAACTTTGACAATGTCAAGGTGCGACCATACATCATGTACGTTACCAGAGAAATGCCTGGCAAGTGCGTTAGATAGATTTTTTAAAACTCTGCTCTCTGTTCTAGGTGCCAGAGAAGAACATTTTAGGAGAGGTCGGTCATGGCTATAAGTATGCCATCGGGATGTTGAATGAGGGTAGGATTGGAATAGCAGCACAGGTAAATTAAAACACAAAATCTGCTCTGTTAAAATGTCAAATTCAGCAGGGCGGTGTTCTAACTCTGTGTGTGTTTCAGATGCTTGGATTGGCACAGGGTTGCTTTGATCACACTGTTCCTTACACCAGACAGAGGATGCAGTTTGGGAAACGTATCTTTGACTTCCAGGTCACGATCCATATTTGGACTTTGGATTTTTTACAACACCTTGTGGTGATAAGGCTTGGTTCAATAAATTCTGATGCTGCTTTTGGTGCTCCTTATATTCCAGGGGATGCAGCACCAAATTGCCCATGTAGCAACACAGATTGAAGCCGCTCGGCTGTTGACGTACAACGCTGCTCGTCTGAAAGAAGCCGGAAGAACTTTCATTAAAGAGGCCTGCATGGCTAAATACTTCAGCGCAGAGGTGAGCTTCCTGTTTTTGTGGTAGTACACTGTAGGACAGAATAAGGATATTTTTGGACCTGTTTAGGTATGTTGCCATAACGTTATTTGTGTCATGATTTCATACAACCAATGGTAGAAGAAGTAAAAGTTGTTGCTGAGACTCTCCTGAAGCCATGGCAGTTTTTAGGTTCTGTTACATCCTATCATTTCTGTGATATCTCTGCTGCTGTCTCAGCTAGTAATTATTTTTACAAGTTCAACTCAAAAAGTCTTTTTATTTTCTCTGGATCTTTTTATAATTTACTTTCTTCAGGTTGCCACCCTTACCACATCAAAGTGCATCGAGTGGATGGGAGGAGTAGGCTTCACTAAAGACTACCCTATTGAAAAATACTACAGAGACTGTAAAATTGGTGAGCCTAACTCGACAAACGTGCTTGGACTCTGGATCACTCTGCAAATATTGGCTTGTGTTTGTATGCTGTTAGTGAGATTGCTGCTTAAATAAGATGTAATTAGTGTAACTGTGGCTGGAGTCCTACTGTGAAAAGAACGAAGCTTGTGAGTGCTACAGGAGGGTCAGGTGTAGATGTTCGTGATTGGAGCAGAGTGGGGCGGAGAGAGAAGGCCCGATAGCAGTGGCTGTAATCGGACTCTGCTGGAATTCTCCAGTCTGACCCCTCAGAGTGCCATTATACCAGCACACAGCCAAGGAAGCTGCCATTTCAAAATGTTACTTTTCCTTTCATCACTGCCACTTTGGCTCCCGAGCTCTCTGGCTGGAGCACCGGCAGACCTAGCTCCACGCTAAGCCTCCTTGTCTCCTGCTAGTGAAAGCGGCGGATGCATGTAGTGTGCAGAGGAGTTTGACAAAATGGACTTTGTTGTGTATGGCAGGAATCTGTGCTAATGCTTTGTTTTCTCTCTTTGTGCAGGTACCATTTATGAGGGCACGACGAATATCCAGCTGTCCACTATGGCCAAGTTCATTGATAAGGAGTACAATGTTTGAAACTCTATGAGCAAAGCCTAAACGATTGTACTCTGCGATGTTACACTCCGCATTTTTCCCCCCAGTGATTATAATGGGATTGATCCAGACCATACTACTATAGATTAGTTCTCGTGCAGCAGCTCATAGTTACTAGTGTTTTGGTTACGTTTCTTCAGGTTTAATGATGTTTATTTTGCTTTTTGTATTCAGTGAGCTTTCCATCGATTCAAATACAATGAGTAACAAACTGTATATCATTTTAAGACCTTTACAACCTTCACCCCACATTTGTTCTAGTATTATTATTAATGTAACAGTAACATAAATGATCCATACATTTGCAATGTGGGAGTTAGTTGTTGAAAGCTGATGATTAGGATTATGTTTTGGTGCCTTCGGAAGATTTGCGATTACTGAGATCAGTGATGTAAAGGTGTGTGTTCTCTCTGTATGATTCTACATCCTTTTAGGAAGTCATCTGTAAAGAATGATCTGTCAGTACTATTAAATGTGAAGTATGCTGTAGTGCAGTGTATGGTTGTTTGTATTTGCTGAGGAGTCCAGGTTAATACCAAGTTCTCTCACTAGATGGCAGCATTTTCCCGAGTGACAGCCGCTCACAGAAGCGGCAGTCAATTATCATGTCTTTTAACAGCTTGTCACCTCTAATGATATTTTATATCAATTTAATTATGCCGGTGCTTCAGATGAAAAGAGCTCGCCTTGCATAATTGACTCATTGATAATTTTGTGGGTGTGACTGATTAAATTTGCACAGGCTACATGTGCTGTGCAAAATAAGGTCTATTGTTTGAACAGCTTTTAAACTTTTAGCCAAGACTTCTTACAAATAATTATGTGGTGATATTTTTTATTACCTTTAAATAATGGAGAAGGAAAAATTAAAACAGACACGGATACTATTTGATGATTTTTATTAGTCACACCGTTTCCTAATACAGAAACGTAATGTTTTTGTAGCAGATAATTTTATATTAAAATTTGCTTTTGCTTCTTATTTCATGTATTTGTATAATACATTTGAAGAGTGAAAGGGACTGAAATGTATTTGCCCTCATAAAAATTTTAGGATTATGTGTGTGTTTCTAAACGATCAGTATAATTCTTGACACCACCACTGTATCTGTAACAAAAGCTTTGAATTTAAATATGAATTGAGTGTTATTTACTGCTGGGACTTTGCTGATAGAAGTTAGAATCAAACGTGCTAGGCTGCAGTGTAATTGCATACAAACACCTGTTCTTTAAACCTAAATTTCTCTTTTTTTTTAATCACATAAAGATAGAACAGAAAATCAAGCCTGCATTTACATCACTGATTGAGTGTACTTTGTTTGCCCCTCTGATCCACTCTGACTCGTGGACCCTCCCCCCCTCTCTTTAATGAACATAATCTGATGAAAACACAGCTATTTGCTTTTCACTTTGCATCGGCAAAATGCTGCTCAGCTAGCCTCTTTCTCCGCCCCCATCTTTAACACAGCTATGAGACCTCTAATTATGCAAGGATTCAAGTAGCTTTTCACAAAACACAGTGTTGTCCTCTAGAACTGGAGAGCGCTCCACGAGCTAAAAGGACAGGCTGCATATTTGCAGGTTGAGCAAATTCAATTTGTTTGATTAGTTCTCTGCATTTGCTTCAACTTTGGTTTAAATGCTGCATCTTAAATGTTTTTAGTGTCTCTTTTTTTCTTTGCGTATGCCTATACCAAATAGACACGCAAAATGTTGATATCTCTTCCGTTTTTGGAGATATATGCTCTTAGTCTAAATAGAGATCAGAAAAGCAGTGTACTTATAAATTCATTTTCTTTCCTGGTCTTTCTTTCGTTCATCATACGCACAAATAAAATGTGACCAAACAGCTCTTATACATGTCTCTTCAGGTACACAATTGAAATTTGCTTAATTCAAGTACTAGCACTGTTGTATGTGTGACAGAAACAGGCCTATTGTCATCCTCGCGCATTAGATCACCTGCTGCCCCTGTGGGTTTGTCTGCTTTGGTACTAAGCTGATGTGAAAAGACTTTATCACGATGGTTAAACATTCAATTTGATGTCTGCCTGTAGCGCTTCCTGGCTAATAAAATTACACCGAAGTCAATGCGCTCCGGTGCAGGTGAAACGAACAGCTTTCCTGCCGAACACACGCGCGTCAGGACGCAACAGAATAGTGGCACGCCGAAATCGTGCGTCATAGTGTTCAGCGTCCGCGTTTAATGACAAAAATCATTAAATGACTAAATATTTAACAATTTTCTGAATCTTTTTGTGCGTTAAGAATAATACTTCGCCATTTTGTTATTGTATATCGTAGCTTACATTCGTGCGTAAAACCTATGCGTAATTTGTTTAATAAGGCTAAGTTGCTTGATTTCGCTGGACCATTTAATCAATGGACCATTTATTCAATTTACTGACAGGTAATTGTGGCTCGCGCACACCCCTCATAACCCTGATACATTTTCCTCTTTTATCTAATTGGTTGACAAGTGGGTGCGTACTGCTGAGCCCGAAGCCAAAACTCTCGCGCGGCCTTTTTCTTTGGAGTCCATTCTTGTCAGACCCCCACGCGGTTTCATCTCAAATCCCATTTGCTATTGTACCTGTCCAATAGCAGCGACCGAGCACGCTTTAACTCGGATGGCATTTTTATTTCATCACTACGGTCGGGAGCAAGTCTGACTCAGTGATCTCTGCGCTCTCACGCTGATCATTCTCGTGGGGGGGAAGCTGGGCACAGCTTTACGCGACTTTCTGAGTTTTCCCTCCATCTTATGCGAACTATTTTAGCTCGGACTTTAACGCCAGAGAATCCTTTAGATCTGTTTAATATCTTTTTTCAGCTTTTGATGGTGATCCCTGTCGGACAGTAAACGGTGATGGCAGACTCTGATACTCAAGAGGCTCGCCAACCTGCAAAAGACTCGCCGTTCTCCATAAAGAACCTGCTGAATATTGAAGACAAACCCACGAAGCCAAAAAGCATCCTCAGCTCGCACAAGGGGGTTTTGGAAGGCAGTTTCTTTTCTCGGCTCGGTGATTTGTCTGTTCCTCGATTTGAGCTGCCAGCACAGAGAATTGGACTATCCGCGCAATATCTGGAAAGAGCATCTACCTGGTGGTACCCCTACACGCTTGGAGCACATTTTAGGACTGGAGGTAAATTATTGTTGTGCTTTAGACGAGGGACGTATAGTGTTTTAATATTAATTCACGTTCTTCTATCGGGAAAAGCTGTGGTGTATTCAACATCGTGAATGGATACGTAGATCTTAATAAAAACGTTTTAAATACTTTAAACTCTAAATTAAACTTAATGTATCCAAACAATAAACCAATTACATAAAGGGGAAAATAGAATAGAGGTAGGATAGCTTTCACTGCAGAATTGTTTGTCGTTGAAGAATAGGTTTTAACAAAATAAAATGTTTTTCTCCAGGGTCTGAGAAGGTCAGCTTAAGAGAAGCATCACAGGCACCGGACAGGCGCTCTCCGGATCTCCAGAAAAGTGATCAAGATGCCAAAGATGAAAGCGCCGACGATGACATCGCCCTGGATGAAAGTGACTCGGAGGAGCCAAAGAAAGAAACAGACCAGGAGGACGACTGGAGGAGAAAAAACGACGAGCTGGACTCCGAGAAGAAGCCCTGTCGGAAGAAGAAGACGCGCACCGTGTTTTCCAGAAGTCAGGTCTTTCAGCTGGAGTCCACTTTCGACATTAAGCGCTACCTGAGCAGCTCAGAGAGGGCAGGCCTAGCCGCGTCTCTGCACTTAACCGAGACGCAGGTGAAAATCTGGTTCCAGAACCGGAGGAATAAGTGGAAAAGGCAGCTGGCCGCCGAGCTGGAGGCGGCCAACCTGAGCCATGCGGCGGCACAGAGGATTGTGCGGGTTCCCATACTCTACCACGAGAATGGAGCCCCAGAAACGAGCGGGGGCCCTGCTACAAACTCACCGGGCGGCCAGGCACTCCTGGCTTTCCCCCACCACATGTACTATTCTCACCCAGTCCCACTGCTGAGACCCGTTTAACATTTGTGTCATAAAGCATTGTACATATGTTTTTAAATGAGAGTGATTAACTGAAAAAAAAA